AAGAGCGGGTGGTCGACGACCTCCGATCCGACGAGGTACCGCCTCCGTGACTTTCCGACGTAGACCGGGTGGAGATCTCTTGACACGACGCCGTTTTCTTCGTCGTCGTCGGCGGAGGCCACGGAGTTCACGCTCGGGCGGTTCGGCTTCCCGAACGAGTTCCACTTCTTCAGGACCGACTTGATCTTCGTCAGCTTCCCGCCCTTGGCCATCTCGGATATTTTGGAGGGAGAAGGCGGTTGGTTGGTTGCCGAGAAAAGGCAAGAAAGTGTGGGAAATTAGGAAGCGGAGGGATTTTTGTGCGAGAGTGAGAGAGAAGAAGAGGGAGAGAGGTTTTGATTGTGTTGGGGGGGTTTGGAAAGCGGAGGGAAGCTTCGTATTTAACGGGGAGGGAGAGAGGTAAAATGGTAAAAGTGTTCGAAATGCGGTCATGAGAGTGGGACCCAGTGATGTGGGACCGGGATTTTTGTTTGAAGATAATGGAGGCCAAATCAACTGCTTTTTTAAGTTCACTTTCTGATTCACAAACAGGTTCAAAATCATGTAAATTTGTGTGTCGTTCTCTTACAACAAAATTCAAAAAAAAAAAATTAATTTGAATTATAATTTTATTTAATTTTGCATTTTTTTATAAAATTTGAGTTTAAATTCGAGTTTAGAGTTAAATTTGAGTTCAATTTTTTTTTTCAATTCGAGTTTATAAACTCAAACTCAAGTTAATGAACAATATTTTTTCTATTCTTAAAAATATCATAACTTTTTCGTTTTAATTCTGATTGAGATGATTTTTTTCTATACATTCACAACGAAAAGACGAATAAAACTCCACTCATATACTTTATTAAAATTTTTCATCACCATTGAGTTTTTATTAAAATACTATCTAAATATAAATTTAAGTTTTAACCCACCTAAACGCAAACTCAAAAAGATTTTCAATTCAAATCATAACTCAAATGTGCACATTCAAACACAAACTCAATTTATAATTTCAACTCAAATTATAACTCAAATTCAACTCAAAATCATCACTCAAGTCACCCTAACTCAAAAATGTAAAAGCCTTGATGTCTCTATAGTCAGATTTGTTCATAAATGTTAATTCCTAATTTAATTATGTCATTTTTAAGTCATATTAAAAGCATCCATTTATTTACCAAATTTAAAATGCAAAGTGATATAGCTATTAACTTACTAATTTTACCAAAAAAGTATATATATATATATATATAATAAATAAATAATCTTCTTAAATTTTTTTTAAAATATATATAATTTGTGAATTATATTCTGACGAATTAATTAATATATATTATAGATTAGAGATATTTTTTATTCAAAAATTTTATTATTTTGTTGGATAAAAATAACTTTTTTTATTGTACAAAAGTATGATTTATTGGTGTTTGGACTTTGTTGTATGGTTTGTAAAAAGATATTCGTTTTCAGTTTATAAGCATTTAGGTCCCATGCTACCTTTAGGAATTTCGGGGTAGCTTTTTGCATATTCATCTTTTCTTGCAGTCGTAATTCTTGCAACAAATTTTGTATTTTTCTGCTTTTAGAGATTTGCATGATCTATAGGTTCATTTTACATCAGGAACTTACATTTTAAGGAAAAGAAAGACACCAAATGTAGCTAAAAGTAGAAAAAGAAGTTCTAACAAAAAACAATCTCTCATAATGCAGTTCTTGTCTTTTTAGTGTGTCTGTAGAAATTATGGGTCTTTTTGGGTTCAAAAGAAACTGGCTTCATGTTATAAGGTACAATCTCAAGGACTTTTGTGTATAATTATTAGAATAATTCAATGATAGGGGTATAAAAAAATAGGGATTGAATAATTTCTATGATAAGGTTATAAAAGAAAATTTACTTTTCGCCAAGGTAAAATTCTAACCGTGATATTTTCATTAAATTTTATTAAATTATCATACTTTTTTTTATTTAATGTAGTTATGACGTAATTTAACAATTCAGAATTATGTACTTTCAGTAAGTATATTATTTTATCCTCCCATAAAATTCTCCCTTAATTATTATCTATGTTCACATCACCAACTATAAAAATGTGTTTATAAGAGCCCGTTTGGTTAGATGATTCGTTCTCTGATTCGAATCATGATTCATGGTTCGGTAAAGTATTTTCTCTCACAAAAAATACATGTAAATCAAAAATAATTCTAATCATATGTTCTAATTCATAAATTAAACGGGCTCTAAGTGTTTCTTTTTCAAACTTTACTTTCCTTTATAAGTGAATAATACCAACTAGAAATTAGAAAAGTTGTTGGTCTCCGCAGACCTAGATAAATTCCAGCCAAGGCACAAACTGATTTTTTTTTTTTAATAATTCCCTTCTATCTTCTATTTTCTAATCATTTTAATTCGGGGAAAACTGTTGGTGAAAGCGACAGACATGTGCGAGAGTGTTGCCAAGGTCTTCAACCTATTATCCAACTTCACTTGTCAAATATTTTTAATTCATAATAAAACTTCTGATTTTTAGTTTTTCTTTTTTTTTTTTTTTTTTTTTTTTTTTTTTTTTGGCGTGGAAAGTTTCAGAAACTTGAATAATTAATTAACTTCGTGACAAGGGGTGCCTCCCTCTTCCCAGAATCTGGACCAACCGGCGGTAACTACCACCCAGTTTTTTTAATACTTAAAGAGAGAGGAAATTCAAAACAAATAAGTAAACAATAGAAAATAAATCTTTTGCTATCTCTGTGTATATGCTTAATTGATTAATTAATTCAGTGTTTTCTCCTCAAATGATTTGTAATAGTCGTATCACTATTCAATTGCACGCCATTGAAGAAATTTTTATTTTTCAAAAGCAGCTTGTTTATTGTCCTTATTTTGACCCTTTTTTTTTAACCTAAGGGCTTTTCTTTTTAGTGAAAAACTCAAAAAAAGACAACTCGAGTTACAACTTTATTCGAGTTTATGTTCTTTTAAGTTTAAACTCGAGTTTAAACTCAAGTTTAAGACTAAAACTCGAGTTCAAGTTTCACCTTTAACTCGAGTTCAGAAACTCGAACTCAAATTAATATTTGTTTATATTCTTAAAAATGCTATAACTTTTTCGTTTTAATTCTGATTGAGATGATTTTTTTCTATGTGTTGACAACGAAAAGACGAATAAAACCTGACCCATATACCATATTAAAATTTTTCATCAGCATTGAGTTTTTATTAAAATACTATAAATATAAATTCAAGTTTTGACTCACTCAAACACAAACTCAAAAAGGGTCTTATCTCAAATCATAACTCAAATGTACACAACCAAACACAAACTTAAGTTACAAGTTCAACTCAAGTTATAACTCAAATTCAACTAAAAAATTATACTCAAGTTAAACTCTAAAATAACGAGTCCTAAATTTTTCTATGATTACGTGAAACATCTACACATACACAATCTTCAGTAATAGAAATAAAGAATCCCATTTATATTGCGGCAAATTATTTTGTTTTCTGTTTGGGTGCACCATAATAATATCATGTAAAACGTAGTGTGTTAGATTGTGCGAGAGACACATGAATGGATCCAATGGATTTTGCTTTTGCTTGCCATAGTTGCAATCTAGTTACACTATAATATGTGTGTGTATATTCTAGTTGAGTCTTAAATCCAAAGTACTTTGTTCGAGTTCTATTATAAGAATTCGGATTTTTCAACTAATGAGACTTATGATTTTCTTAACGATATTTGACCTCCTTCACTTTGAAAATGAGGTTCTCATTCTAGATTATTTTTTTTTATGTTTCTGTAAATGAGTTTTTATTTTATTTTATTAAATGTTTATACATTAAGATATCGTAAATAATATTGCTTTGTTCTTTTCACAACTAAAGTTTTATTATTATAATGTTTTTTCTTACAAAAATTCAAATTCAACTTTTTAACTATAATATTTTTCTCTCATATACACAACTCAAATTCTTAACTTGAGTTGTAAAATAAACATATATAAGGTTCTCTATACACACTTATGTAATGTGAAAATCATAAAATCTTGGGGAAAAAAATCTCAATGATAAACACTAAACAATATTTTTGGCACCAAAGGAAAGAGAGGAAAAATAAACATATATAAGGTTATCTATACACACTTATGTAATGTGAAAATCATAAAATCTTGGGAAAAAAAAAATCTCAATGATAAACAATAAATAATATTTTTGGCACCAAAGGAAAGAGAGGGAAAAAAAATGTTGATAAAGACACATGGCGGCTGGCTAGCAGAGGCATGTGAGCAACACCAACACATGGACTCAACATGTACAAAACCATAAATTTTGAGCCGCTTTTCCATGCAATAAATTAACATTTCATCATACCCATACCTCTTCTCATGTGATAATTTTGATACACAAATCATTACAAATTTTTTCCCTTCAAAAAATCTTTTTAAACCTCTATAAATGGATATGGGTATAACGTGCCTTCTGTTTGTTTTACAATCTATCTCTGGAAATTGATTGGATTGGCTGATTGGGACTTTGAAACTCTAAGCCGTTTGGAGCAAAGATTCAAATAATAATTTGTGACTCGTTACAGTATTTTTTTAAAATAAAAAATACACGTAAATTAAGAATAATTCTGAATCATAATTTTAAATCCATAAACTAAACGTAAAATATATAGTTGGCTTCTAATAATATGGTTATACAGTACTTTTTCTTGAGAACAAATTTGGAACGTGGACTATATTCCAATTCTCGAATACCTTTTGCATGCCTTACTTTTTCTATGTTACTAATTGGTGAAGTCAAATTTCGTCAATTTCAAAAGAACCAAGTTTCTTAAGCGAAATTGGGTTGAAAAAAAATCAAACAATCATATCTTACTAATTTTTCGACATGAAATAGAAACAAGAAAAATGTAAAGTCTCGTAGAAAAATTAGAGTCCCTGATTTTAATATAAAGTTTTGCAACCACAATGAACGCATGCTACATGGAACATTTCACTTATCTTTTGGCTAAGTGATATTACAGTTTTTGTATCATTAATATGATTTGCTTCTAACAAGAAAAAAAAAGAAAAAGAAAAACAGAAGTGGATGAATTGCTTTAAATGATATGTCCTAAATGATTGGAATCAAACACCGAATATAATCTTGTCACCTTAAAACAAAATTAATTGAGAAACACTACAAAGATTGGCATCTAATGATAATATGATTAACACTACTTTGCCACTTTATAATAGAAATAATAATAAAATAGATATTAATTTGTCTACATATAAAACAAAAATTTAGTATACACATCATGAGCAGAATTTAAACCAACAATTAATTAAATAAATAACTAATATATATGGGGATGAAA